CGGGCGCTACATACCCGTTCATTTCCTCCCCCCCCCGCTTCCGTTTGACGGGAGGTTTTTGTGGAAAACTGAAACAGAGAATAATTCTGGAAAACTGGGAAATCAACAAAAAGTGGTGGAACGTCGGGAGAATTCAGGAAGATCGTAGATTGGACGGGATATGGGGAAGGGGTCGCACGAGAGGGGAACTTTTGATGGGACTGCGGTCGTATTTTCCAAATTTCTTCGCCAACGGCAGAACGTGCCCCGATTATGTATGTTTGCTCTGTCCTTCCAAAAGACTGCAGAACCCTTATAAGAACAAAGTGCTATCGAAGACCATTGTACTAATCCAAATGACGCCAAAGCAAATAAACTAAAGGCTGAGGCATGGTTGTGAGCAAATACCTGCGACGCATGAATGAGACCGTTGCCAGTGGTATAGCAGTGACTAGACAGTTCACATGCAACGGTGTTCCAATCTGGTAGTACTGCTGATCGAATACTACCCAGCTATTCGGTGCCATTATATCAATTCTAGCGCTGATACGTTCATTTTGCACGTTCACCTAAATATCTTTTCTCAGAAAATGGAATCCATGAACTAGAAGAAAGTCACGAAAACAAGAAAACGAAGGGGAGACGGTCAAGACAATCGTGTCTCTATCGCGCGCGGCAAACAGCGTGGCTTTCCGTTAATTCGCTTAGCCTGTCGATAGAAGCTTCGGATCGATTTTATATAGACTAGGCCAGGGGATCGTAGACATTCATGGCTTCTTTTGGCCATACCTTGACTGCCTTGGCTGTCAATAATCTACGACCTCGAGGCGTCATCAACAGCGGGCGCGAAGCGCACTCGACGCTCGCCAGCGCGGCGAATTACGATTGTCTTGTCACCCCAAAATAACGTACCTTCCATTCTATGGTCCGTACCGTATCCAGTAGCTCAATCGTGAGGACGTAGCTAAAAAAAGGATTTGATGATATAATTCAATGAATACAAGTAAAAAGTAGCTCATCGGAAGGAAAATGGTGCCGATAAGTTCCTCCAACACTTACATGCCGCTCATTTCCGTGCGAGCATTTTTGATGGCGATTCTTTCATTCACTCGTCCTCCATCTATCTTATCACTACTTATTACATGGTCATTATCGCTGACCAGATTTTCCGTTTCATTTACAGTTTTCGGTGGTTTGATAGATTTCTGAAGTATACATTTCGTGAACATTGCAGATATGATCGATAATCGTACAAAAAACGGACAGAAACTCACCCGGATCCATTTCGCATTAAAACCAGGAAAATCATCTGGAAAAGCAGCCAATTCGGCGGAGAGATTAATGGAATGGCCCTCTTTAACGTTGACCTCTTGAGGAGTTCTGTTCAGCACCTGAATAGGATTTCGAAGTTCAGTCCCTTAAAGAGTAAACCAGTAGACCGACCTTGATTTGTCCTTTCTTTGGCGACACGTCCACATTCTTATTGATCGTCTGATTCAGTACATTATCGAAGTACCAGCTACAACTGTACTGCCCGCTGTCTTCAGAACTTAGCGGATCAATTGTAATACTATGGATTATGCGATCATTCTTAGTGGCCTTCTTGTGAATCGCAGCCGACTGCAGAAAAGGAGGCTTTTTTATAAAGCACAATAATCAATCATACCAAAAAAGTGACAAAACAAAAAGTACTTACTGTACACCGTGGACAAGTTAGGTTGAGATGGTACTGATACTTGTTCTCTATCCGACCTTTTCCTTTAAGCTTTAATATACAATTGAGGGAATACGCTCCTCCAACATACGGCCATGGATCGGGCTAAAAATGAAAGAGGATAATTTCAAAATTTTTGAGCGCAGAATTTCAATGAAAATTTCATACTTACCTCTTCAAAAAGAAATTCGAGATCATTTTTGTGAGTTTCCTGTATAACAATGAGGAATGTAGCTGTATCTGGTGGATATCCCTTGTAAACGCATTGGAATGTTAGTTGATTGACAATCTTCTCCTCGGCATTTTTGCTGTTCATTTTGAAACCGATTCTGAAAGTAATTTGCAGTACAAAGGAACATAAAGGATAAAGTCTTCGCCGTTGGTCAATCCCTTTTTGGGATGGGCCACGCATTCTACTTCCATTCAGAATCGTAGTGGACTTATTGATTGCTTGTGACCTGCACTCGGTTTTCTTATCTCCCTAGACGAGTCTTGTACCAATTTACAGTCCCCTGAAGGTCGAAGGCATGGTTACCTGGGCGGGAGCCGTTCCGGGATTGGATCCTCGCACTGAGTACGTGGTAAGCGTGTCACTTTTTCAATACACCACCTCCACCTCAGAGGGGGAACATAGTTGTGTAAATAAGGGGTTGAATGAAAACTGCTAAACCTACTCATGAAAAGCAAAAATTAACAACTTTCCGAGCCAGATGTCCATTTTTAGTCCAGTGTATAGAACACTTTTTATTAGAACTTATCAGCAGCATTTGTTGAGATAGTGGAGCTTGACCTCCAGCGCCTAGATGGTTGTACAGTCGCTGTCACTGAAGAGAGTCGGGGCGTGTCGAAAGCGCATGGGTTTTGGCAAAGCGCCAGCCCGTTTTCCACTTTTCCCATTTTCCCTCTTCACGGCTTCCGAGGTTCAACGAGTGTGCGAAAGGTGCCGGTGCCGCGTCAAAACACACGCACCCGCTGACATGCCCGGCTCACTTCAGTGATAACGTCTATAGGTAGCGGGGGCTCAGTGCGCGCCGCTGCGATAGCAACTACTTTGACTTTCTGGCACTGAGAAGTAATGATAATAATAGGAGATGGAGACCATGCGTTCCGAACTGACATAACCCCAGGGCCTCTACTTTATCACCAGGCTATTGCGCGCCTGAAACGGGAAAAATCGAGACAGTTGGCAATCAAAAAATGCCCATCAGACTAACTGCGACTTATCCCCAGCGATCAAGCACGACCCTAGCTAAGTACTCCTCACCGCATGCTTTGCCCTGGTCTGAAAACGATTCTCGCCCAGGTGAATCCAGTCCGTCCTTTTCAGTGTGGAATGCTTGGCCTCCGACTCATCCAGGGCTTATCCTTGGACTGAAATCAGGCGCGCCGTGAGTGTAGGCGCTAGAAGTCTAAAAGCCGCACTCAAAAAAGAACTCTGTAAGTCTTAGCGAAAAGGATGTGATGTAAGGAGCAACTTTACGGGGTTACATCTGACCTCAGAAGGAACTGATGGCTGGTTTTTTCTCCATTTCATGTTAGAAGACGCATTATCAAAAAATTTCCCTATGATGTGCCCTAATTGTGATTGACCTCCAATTACACTCCATATCCTGGAGATGAGGAGGGCGTGGCTGCGTGCTTCATCGAAGTGTGCCGGCGGCTGCATTTTGGTGGGAGCTTGCCATTTTGAGACAACTGTCACCCTGTCTCGTGCCTGATAAGGATATCAGTACATACAGGGAGGGCCAAAAAAAGTCACTTTCCTTCATTGACTTTCGAGGCGCTATAAGTTACACTTTATTGAATTCTGATCGGACATTTTTACCACCATATTAAAGAGCATATTAAATACTATCATGACACTCCGCCACAGCCTTCTGGACGAGCGCCATCGAGAGATTCTGGCACGCGACCGCGATGTGGTGCCTGAGATCAGCGAGATAGTCGATTTCTCCGCCACCGTAGACCACCCTATTGAGCTCCAGTTAAGTTCAGGTGATGCTACTTAAATATTCCCAATCTTCCTTTAGGTATTCCAGCCCCCTTCCATTCCAAGTAGGAGTTTCTCCAACGCCCTTCGATTCCATGTGGTGGCACCCAATGCTGTAGCAGTACAAAGTTTCCAAGAAGGTACGGGCGACGACATGTGAGGAGGATATTCTTCACGAGTTGCTCGATGTAACCGCCAGCGCTCACCTTCAGTCCGGGGTCCACGAAGAAAATATTGGTCTTTCCATTCCAGGTACGTCCGGTCCATACCATCAACCCGCGCCTTGGCGACTGTGGTGAAGATGATGTCCTAGACCGTGGCGACGTTGTCGGAGCTGCTCGATGTTGGAGGTCATCCAGATCGAGAGTACTGGTCTCCAGGTAGCTATCCATGGGTGACTCCATACTAGAAGTTTCGCAGCTGTTTGGAGGTGACATGAATTCCAAAGGTCTTCTGACTTCATATTTTGGTGTACATGAAGGTGATGGGCGAGAGCCAGCTCCTGCTTATAGAGGAACATCTTGGGTATCTTCCGCCCTGGTACTCGTATCCACGTCCTCTGTCTGGGCAGCGAAAACTTTGCTGATATGTGACTCGGTCGAAGTGACTTTTTTGGCCCCCCTGATGTCTGAACAGCACTGTCCCGCCAAAGCCGCTATCGCCTCCACGTTTAAAAGAAATATGCAGCCATGCCCTCCCAATATCCGGATATGGACTGGGATTTGCCTCTAATTAGGAATGACTCAAACGTCATTTCGTTACCACTAACAGGACTGGGAAAGAATTAAAAGCAATCATACCATCATTAGAAGTATCACTAAAAGAATATCAAAAAAATCTGCTATCAATAAAAAGAGATTTTTAGAAATTGAAAAAAATTTCGAAAAAAGATCCTTACTGATTTAGCAGCATTTACCAACCTTGGATCGTAGTATTTCGATGCCGATTTCCATACTTTTCCATTGGCTCGCAGCTCAACTTCATCTTTGAGCACATGTCGAGAGGTTTTGCACGGTACGACAAATTCAGACTCGGAAACAACCAGTCCTTCGAATAGTGTTGGGACAAATGCTCCAGCTCCTATAACAGACATTATCAATATTGGATCAACCTAATTCAAGCTCAGAATAAATTATTAGATTTCTGCTAAATTTCACAGCAGAGGTCAGGGTAATTGAGGATGAATGACTCAGACAACTTTGAAAGAACTATGTAAATGAGTTCACGGCAGTACTGGAATGCTTATCTGCCACGTATCGTAAAGGCAAAGGAAGGAAAGGAACGGATGTTAATACGCTAGCTAATATTAATATATTATAATAATAGCTTGAGAATTACAGTAATCAAGGACGGGATCGCTATCAACAAAATGAAGGAACGAAACTTAGAAAACCCTGAATGAAAGCGTAATAGATATAGTAAAATGATAAATCAACTTAGCGAGGCCTATCCCAACTATTACGAACTTCTAAGCTGTTCTGGGAAGTCTGACTTCTTTCAGCACCTACAGTCCATGTCCCGAAGCAGGGGAGGGCGGGGCTGTGCATCTCATGCTTGATGTAAGGTACTTTTCTTGTGAAATGATCTCATTTGAGACAATTGTCATCCTGTCTTGTGCTGGGCGAAAACTTTATCGCTATTGTGTCAAAACGGAAACGTCCTTGCACAAGCTCATAGATGCCCCGTCTGGAACAGCCACGCCCTTCCCATTTTTGGGTAATAGAGTGCAAACGAGATGACACGATCAACTGGTGTCTGAAGAGCTCTGTGGTAGAGAATAGTACTTAGTGAATGAATAACCAAGTGAAAATCCGATGAAAAAGTCCATACCTCTGACAAAAATGTGAATTTCTGAGCTCAATGACGGATCGTCTTTGGAATGACACTTGTAGGTACCTGTATCGGACTCCTGAAAAATCAGTATTGAAAATTTCACATGGTACAGGTATACAGAAAAAAATTCAAAATGGTTAAGGGCAGTTTGTTAAAAATGGAGAAAATTATGAACATTCCTTTGTGTAAAGCGTATCTGAACTTTCAGTGAAAACCTTTCGCAGATCAATCGATGAACTTCAAACCATTACTTACTTTTTTACATTTAATTCAGTTCTGTGTTGATTACTTTAAGCCTCTTCTGCACATTGTAAAATCTTAGCCTCCTAACTTTTCATCGCAAAGGACAGCGAGTTCCTCTCTATGATTCTGCGTACAATTTATACAATTTTTGTTATGCTGCTCGCTCTTCAAAATCACATGAAAGTCTTCGTTTCAGAACCGAAGTGGCAGAACATATACAGTACCATCAGTGGGAAATAGCAAAAAGATGGAATGCTGGTGGTGTAGTGAGTGACAGGCGGCGACGCTTATCGCGCTCACGGTCTGAACGTCAAATTCCAGAACAACTCGGGCCAACTAACCCTTCTATCCTCCAGTGTCGCTTTGCCGAGACCAGGCTTGTCTCATAGGATTTAAACATCGGGAATTGTATCGTCAGCTCCGCTAGCTATTCCATCAACTACTCGTACTCAAAATGCCACTATGACTCAGAGTGAGAGTGAGACGCATGGCGCATCCCAGAAGAGAAATGGTCATAGCGGAAATCGTTTGGTGGAAAGACAAGCGCCCAGACACTACAGGTATATGCAACGATTTGCATTTGCAAAACGTTTTTACTTTACTTCCTGCTATCTTTTATGACATAACTATTTTGATGCTACTATATAGCGCGCGTCTACACTGTAATGTAAACATCATGGAATGTTTTCTGCGAAAATTATTCAATGTTTCTATGAGAGCTCTGATGAAAGTGCAAAGCAGCGGTGCAACGAAAGGACAATATTTCCACATAGCAAACGCTTCTGCACGAGGCAGTTACAAGTAATCGAATTACAATACCGTAACGGCTCGTGTTCGGCCAGTGCTTCCTCTCGAAAAGAGCTAAAAGCGTCAGCAATGTAATATTGAACTACTGTAGTAAGTTTCGGCAATTTGATACATTGGGTGTTGGAAGGTGCGAAAAAAAGGATCAGGAACCAAGGGGATAAGGATTTTTGCCCAATTCCAAGTGAAAGGATCTCCATGGTGCATGAACCAATCCCTTCGCTTCATACTGTACTTCGCTAATGATACCATATGAGGCGGCCGCGGTGCTGCATGGATATTGCAGAACATGTATGCAGCGGATACAGCGGATGCATATATGTATACCTACCATAACGGATTTTGGCACGATGCCAACAGGAAAGTCGTCCAAGTTTGCTTTCTGAGTTTCTCGAAAGAAGGTTTTTTGCAGGTTTTTGACCGTTTTGCTTAGCTTTTTCTCTATTTTCCCCACTTAGCTCCTTGTTACCATTTTAGAACAAATACCTAATTATTGTGCCCTACGCCTTTGAACTGACTACGATATACACCATTGAACGGCATTTTATATTAGGACAATCACAACAACATTAGATTGAGAGTAGCTGTGGCGTGCTGTAATACCAGTTGTTTACTTTTTTGAAAAGGCAATTAACGACCATCTGGCGCGACTATAGGTCACGTAGACGCTTTAAGGCGAGATATCTTCAAATCACAATATAGCTTCATAGTTTTTACATGACAATCATCCGAGCAAATGTGTCAGCGCACGTGACTTCACAAATGTCTAGACATTTCACGGATCTTTGAACACTTTAACTAAAACCTATACTATCGGAACGCTGATCGCGCCTTTAGATGGCCTTGAGGAATCTCAAACGTCTCAGAAATCTTGCAGTATCACGGGCGGAATATTACCTTACTGAATTTGCATTAAATTCTGCATGACAGGTTCACACAATTGTCAAGTTACAGCTGGCATAGGAAATAAGCAGCTCATTCAGGCCTATCTTATCCGGTGTGGATGCTCGGGCGTGAGAGAAGGACTGCATTTGGCCCGGTGTCAGCCCGCTAAGCGCGAATTGTTGCCGCTTGCCCTCTCCAACAATTGGTGGAGAACGGGCTGGCGCTGTGGTAAACTCAGCCCACCCCCTGACACGCCCCACTATTCGCAGGGAGGAAGAACATATATCAACCTGGATAATGATAATAAGAAAAAGATGGAGCAAATACGACAGAAAACTGCTAATCAAAACAGGAAAAGAACAAAATCTCGAAATAACTTCCCATTTACACAAGCAGTATCCAAATTCCACAAAGACTTAAAAAAACAAGGAATTCCTTACTTACTAGCCCAACTTTCCAGAGCTTAAAAGAACTAGTATAGCAGAACCGAATAGTAGGCAACTGCACTGAAGGCACACCGTGCACTAACGATTCCTCTCACGATGTGAAGAGTTTTCCCCTAATATGGACCCCCTCTCTAGGCAGAATCCTTGGAGACCCATCTGATCGAGCTACTACTGCCAGAAAAATTGAATCCTATCTCCTCCTAGTAATGGGATGTACCTACCGGAGTGAATATGGAGCGCTTGAAGCGGCGAAAATTAAACGCCAAAGAATCGCGTAAGGTCCAGTATGAACAGTTAGCACCAACTGCAACGAGCTTGGCCAAACTTCAGACTTGAAAATTGATCTTTTTTCATCCGTACCTCTGTCTTCCATTTCCTGTCACCCCTGACGATAAAAATAATCTACAAAGTCTTGTGGGCCAAATATCTATCCAAGTTAAGAGCTATCTATCTTACCTTTAAATCCCTAATATGAAGCGTATGACCATAGGCAAGATCCTCTAGAGTATAGCGTGAATTAAAATCTTCTTCTGAATAGCCTCGATTGTCCGTCAGATTCGGAAATGCAAACTCGACAGCTGAAAAAGTTCAGAGATCAAGAAAGATCAATGTCAAAATCAATAATCGACAGATAAATGGGGAAATCGATTTTGTTTTGTTTATGTGGAATGTCAAACGGTACAATACCGAAAGAACTCTTGAAACAAGCAAAGAAACCTCCTCTTTCAATATTTTCATCGTACGTACACTTCATATCCCGGATATGACGTGGGCGTGGCCACATACTTCATTCAAACTTTGCGGTAGCTGCGATTCTGTTGGGATAACTCTGCTTTGGGACATCCGCAGTCGTGTTTTTGTCCATTACGAGACAAGATGACACATGTCTCATCACCAGATGGAAATGTTCCATTGAAAGCGCACATGACTTCATTTTCAAATAAGGTTCGCAGCCACGCCCCCTCCACATCCGGGACATGGAGTGTGTTGATTTCCAGTGCATGAACCAGCCAGTATTCTGCAACCATTACCCGGCATATTCTCTAAGAGGACCAAATTTTCGTGCACAAATTCAAGCAAAATCTTTTAACCTATCAATTAAAACAAATTCTGGAACAATTTTTGGGCCTGTTCCAGATTTTTCTTGATATTGTAACTGATGAGTCACCCTCAACTCACCTTCATTGGTAATATCTGAGCATGTTATGCGAACATCTTGACCGACGTCTCTCTGGATGAAATTACCAATCGTAGGATCATGCTGTAAAAAAACTAGCGATTTTGTATAAAGTAATGTAATTGTTCAAAGTAATTTCCAAGTAGATACCTGAACTTCCCCAGTTTCAGGGGTGAGAGTTGGTGGGTGAAATGCTTGAACCCTAGCTATTAATATAAAGTAGACTAAATCAAGCAACATGTGTGACCGTCCTCATGAATTGCCTGAAATTCAAAATGGCCTTGAATGGGGTGGGAATATTGAGAAATCAAGGAAAATTGGAGGGTTATGAAATGAGGAGGAACAGATGATTCAGTGGTAAGAATAGGCGTGTGGAACCTGTCCGGACGACGCCTTTCAATCTCATTATGGTGAACGAACTACTTCTGACCGTTGATACATCGCCGAGCGAATGGAAATCGAATAGAAGGCGAATTTCAGTGATGGAACATAGTGAAACGGCTCGTATAATACTCAGTTAAATGGTTTGAGCGTCGTTTCCCAAATGAGGTAATTTGGCACTATGTGTAATTGTCGCTGTGAGGCCATACAAGGTCAAACTCCCCACGCAACCCAAACACACAACAATAGAATGGGCATCTCTTCCCGGAGTAAAAGGGAAACACCCGCACTTTTGGGTAAAACAACAAAACAACTGGCTCATTTAATCCACATAGATTACTGTCATTGAGTTACGGTCAGTCAGCACAACAACACAAATTACCTCAATGCACCCGTCAACAACTGGTAAAATAATGCAGTCTCTAAGGTCAAACCAATCAACGGGGATAAATACAGAGGTCTACGAGCCAGCGTTGTGTCAGTGCATGTGAGCAGTCACCTGGGAGAAAAAAAACCACTGATCACAACCATGTGTTGGTTTTCACACTGCTGTGGGAACTCGGAATGATTCATGATGAAAATCAGGATGATAAGACGAGTCAATCGATCAATGGGACGATCATTCAATTACTAGTACTTATAGAAATCTTATGAAAATCCTTTATAGAACCACCTCAGTTATCATTCGCACTGAACTATTGTTCAGCGGTCTCGCCAAGTGTTGCACTAGAATGAAAAAGTACGAATCAATCGATAGCGAAACGATCGCGCTACAACGAGAGAGGTGTTTTCCGGGCAATGCGATCGATAAAACAGGGGAGGGCTGATTATTGGCGGATGATAAGGGTATGGTGGAGAATGATACGTGCTGGACGAATTGTACGACTGACTGATTTTCGTGATCAGACCGGGTGATCGGTCGGTGAAGGTGCGAGGGATGACGGCGGAACGGTCGGTCGGACGGCCGCCAAGCGATGCGATGAGACGACGATGGGGTTTGTCGGACTCGGACGCTGGCCCAACAAACAATGAGGTCAACAGACTTCGGCCAGATACGAGACTGCACAGTCCCTGTACATCACAATCATTTTTGAACAGGCAGTACACAAAGTACAAACGATAGGGTGTGGTATCACAGCAGAAGAACTGACAACTAGGCAGGTGAACACCCATCAGCCGCGAGACCACAGTGACCTGCGATGTCCTTGGCAAACGGGGGTGCCATTATTCAGATGCCGGTGTAACATTGAATTGTAACCGAAGCGTTGTTTCAACGACGTGTCTGTGGGTGCGAAATGACAGGGTTCTCCCGCGAATTAATCGGGGGGAACGATGCGCAAATAGCATTTTTTTTCGCAGAAATTATGGAATATGGAATGTATCGAATAAACCATAAGTGAGCCAGTCGTACCGGAGCATTCTGGGGCAACTGAAAGGGTACTGAAATGGATTCCCGGCTGTGTAGAGGACTTGAAATCGGAAACGCTAGACGGTAGAAGGCGCTTGGTCAGGCAGCTTTCAAATTCTAAACTTTGAGCCACTTTCAGGCCTCTGAAGAGGACGAGGAGGTCGAAGCGTCCGGAAAATAAACGATTTCACCTAACAACCCCATTTTGGCAGAACTGAAATAACTTCGGCTCCGGGGTTTCAAGAAGGGACCAGTGAGACTACTGAAAAGTAGCCGTTTCCAAATGGCATTCCAGCCAGATGTTTGAGCGATTGTATGAAATGCACACGATAGGAAATGTGGACAAAAAACGCGGAAAGTGAATTGGAAGGTGAGAAAGGTGAGATGAGAGGCTATGTGGAAGATGAACAAATATTGACAAATCGACGGAATGATTCGATGAAAGGCCGACATGGAGATGTCAAATGAGTTATCTGTTTCCGCCCAACGAACCCTGGGTGAAAATCAACAGGGGTAAAAGCGTTAAAGAGTTTAAGGTTTCCCCCAATCAGGAGAGGTTTCAACCTTTTACATATCCTACGAGACAAGGGCATGTGCACGTCATAATTTTTGGATTGCTAAGGAGGGGAGGAATCGTATTTGCCTTTCACAGAAATGCTTTCAGTTGTCAGCCTTTTGTTGAGTTTTTTTTGTTTCTGTGTCGATTGCGTTGTATATTCCCTCCCCCCCCCCCATGGCAGCTTTCTTAGGAAAGGGCGAAGAAAACCTCTGGAAAAAAATGATAAGAGGTTGATAACCTTCGATTGGTGTCTTATTTTTCAAATATATCCCAGCAGCAGAGCGTGCCTCTACGAAACCCCTCTCTTTCGGATCAGTAGAGCGAATTTTCAGGGAGAGGTCCCGATGCGTTGAGAAATTCGCAACAAGGGAGGTTATAGCTGATGGGTGGGAAAGGATTTTCGTATTTGGTCTGATGAAACCTTTTTGTTGAAGATGCCTCGTCCTAGATGGAAGCGCGACAGTCTCACTATTTCTGGTAACCTGATGGAGACTATGGCTATCCTCCATGCCCCCTCCTGCTCGACGGATATTGGAGGGCGTATATGTTGAGGAAACTGGGTCAAACTGAGAAATAAACTTTCATCGGCATCATGCTTGACCCCGTCTGGGAGCCTGGATAAAAAGTTCATTCAGTCCGGCTCAGTGGGCGCACCTAATGGCACTCAGAATCTTGTACAAGCCACCTTGTAAAGACCTGTAAATTTCTGCACCGAAATGACCCAGTTGCACCCCTTATTAGCTTCACAATTCGCACCAAAACGAAACCTGTTACTTAATACAATCTAACAAACGAAGAAAGTTTGGAGTTCTCTCACCCCTCCCCCTGCATCGGACAACATGGAATGTTCTTGTGTGTGCTAGAGTCGTACAGGTGAGCCATCTTTTTCAAAGACTGTTCCGTAAATGCAGGAGTAATTTATGTAGCATTCATTTATTATTCACTATTATTCTTTATTATTATTCATTATTTACTTAGCAAGATCAGAAATTTGGCGACTGCTCAGCGGACTATGTTATAGAAGAGATGCACGCAGGCAGGTTCAAGCACTGAGGTCAGCTGATTACAACCTCGCTTAGGTGTTTTTTGGCTTCTGGCAACCAGAACCAACCGTAATACTCTTTGATGTTGCACTGAATAGTATTTGAGAGCCCTAGATCTACTGAGTACTTTATTAGAACCCTTGATATACTAAAGCATGTTGATGGTACTTAGCTAGTCAGATAGTCCCCAAAGAAGTGACCTTATGATACGAAGAGTCTCAATCAAATGGTTAGCATTGTAATACGACGAGCACTCAACTACGTATGAGTTTCCCTTATTCTCCGAATAGGCCGTTGCTGGTCTGATGTGAGAATATTTATCAGGGAGCTACTGAGGGAGCCGAGTCGCTACGGATAATGGGGAGTGTCATTGGGGCTGGGTTGGCACGCTGCCAATCGTTCTAAACCAGCTGTTAAAGCGCTTAAGCGAACCAATTGATGGAAAACGCCGTTAGGAACGAATTAATACAGTATAGTCGCTTTTTCGCTTAAAGACAGCCCCCGCGCTCAAGTAGTACATGGTCGTCCTTTCCTTGGGCAGGTAGTTCAGCCCCAAGCTAGATACTATCTCACTCTCGCGACTCCTCAGCGAGCGAGAGCGAGCTAGAACCGCTCAAAGTTCTAGTTCTAACGCCTGCTCAGTTGGACCGCCTCACTAGCTAGCTGCCCTCTGACGGAGAGCCGCTCAGTTGTTCCTTGTTGGGACGGCAGTCATTAATCGGAACTGCATGTATTTTTTGCTGACCGCGCTCGTGCTCGTAAATAATTCTGCTCTCCTTCATCACATTTTATTCATTGGGAGCACGTACAGTCAACAGCAACCCATCTCGTAAGGTAAAACGCGTAAAAATCACGAATGATGCAATTTCTGTGGTGCAAAAGCTCGACGCACTTCACTACACTAAAACATGCTCGCTAAGTTCGGACGCCGGCTTTTTAAATGTTTCCTTTTCTTTTCAAGAGTTTTTCCTCTATGTTTCTGTTGTTTGTTTTCTTTTCTTCGCATTCGATGATATCCACTACTGGGAGATGTGACAAAGATTTGTGAGCCAGGGCTTGCACAGAGACCGCAGGGAGGTGTGACTGTCAGGGCGCGATTTTGTTTATGGTGTTCTTGAGGGCTCTTGTTTCTTTTTTCCTTCATTGAGGAATTACTTATCAGCTACTGTTTCATAATTGATCAGCAATTATCCTTGACACTTTTATCGCGGGAGCTGTCTTTAAGATACTGGTGGAAGACGGAATCGTCGCCATGCCATCCCATTCCTTCCCACACTCCCCATCATCCTCAGCGAACAAGACAGTAAAGGCACTGAAATGGCCCAAATTGGAGCCAAAATGATGACGACCCCGAAGAAGCAGTCAGACAAGCTCAAAGTCATTAAGGCCTTCAAAGTCATTCAGCCCGTTTCGAAAGCAATTTCACACAAAAAATCATTCAGTCAATAACGAGAAAAAGCGGATAAGAAAAAACTACCAGATAGATAAGAAATAAATGACAAATGAGGAATCCTTATATCTTTTTATCATCAATAACTTCATAGCCTTATGAGTCATTGTCACTGCATAAGTGCAACCCGTTGATATGTGCTGAAAAAGCGCTTGCAGAAGAGGGCACACCATGATGATATGGAACATTTTTGTCAGATGCGCCCCCCCCCCCTCTTCCAACTTTCTTCTTTGACGATACCGCCCACCCAAAAATTTTGAAAAGTACTTCAAGCCAAAGGGGGAGGGGGGAGGCCCGCCCCCCGCCGGGGGGGTAATGAGGCGTAAGTGGACATTTATAGCGGGAAAACTAACAACCAAAGAGTTTCCCTGAGGTCGGTTATGACTACCCTTCCTTCCA